TATCTATCTTTTTTAGCAAAAACGTGGGCAGACTTGAGGCATTGCAAATTACGGATAGGCAATTAATTAAAAACGAGAAATTTGGGAAACTCAAGAAAAAAACATGTGGTGCTCTAGTTGTACCTTCTAGTAAATGAATAGCAATTGTGCAACATCATGTAATCTGTATCAGTATGATTATCTTTACTTTACAATTTGATCTTGATTATTAAAACATTATGAATAACTAGATGATGGTTTCGTCAACCTGGTCCCTACCGCCCACTAGTGGGCGTTTCAGGATTCCAGGTGGGCGGTAGGGATTTTCTAATTTTGAGAGATTGGGTGGGCGGGTGCGAGCCGGCGGTACCCCTGCGACCGGGTACCGCCATCACCACTTGCGGCCCCGGCCTGCGCGGCAAACCGCCGGGGACACTTATGGAGGTGGACCATGCTGTGGACCATGTGTGTCTTATGTATGTGTCTTTGTATGTATGTGTGTGTCTTTGTATGTGTTGTGTGTGTGTGTGTGTGTGTGTGTCTGTATGTATGTATGTTTGTGTCTTGTCTTTGTATGTATGTGTTGTGTGTGTATGTGTCTTTGTATGTATGTCTTGTGTGTGTCTGTCTGTATGATTGTGTCTGTATGTATGTGTGTCTTTGTATGTGTCTTGTGTGTGTGTCTGTCTGTATATATATGTGTGTGTCTGTCTGTAAATATATGTGTGTATGTGTGTCTTGTCTTTGTATGTATGTGTTGTGTGTGTATGTGTCTTTGTATGTATGTGTGTCTGTCTGTATGTGTGTATGTGTCTTTGTATGTATGTCTTATGTGTGTGTCTTTGTATGTGTGTGTCTGTATGCACGTCTGTGTGTGTGTGTGTCTGTATGTGTGCCTGTCTGTTTGTATGTGTCGTGTGTGTGTGTGTGTCTGTATGTGTGCCTGTCTGTCTGCATGTATGTGTGTGCCTGTCTGTCTGTATGTATGTGTGTCTTGTGTGTGTGTCTGTATGTATGTATGTGTGCCTGTCTGTTATAGTGGGCTATAGTAAGTAATAGTAAGTGGGATACCTAGCTCAGCCTTCCTACCGGGCATTGCTATAAGGAAGGTTAAAAAATTAAGAAAAAAAAAAGGTGGGGAGGGGAATTGAGGAGGAAGAGGAGGGGAGCTGACGCACAGATGAGAAATCATATTATGCACAAACAGAGAAGTCTTCTGAATATCACCGAAAGAGGAGACCTTTGTTTGTTCCTTGTGAAAACTGAACCAGATATCAAATATTTAGTCTTGCAGCATCAACCTCAAGGATCTCATTAATCACTAGTAAAGATAATTTCAATTTACTTTATTATTTTCTCATTAAACTTTATTTTCAATTTAAAATTTTTATGATCTTTGACATAAAGGTATGGGGTACAGAAGAGAAGAGGGATTGCTTACATAGCATGGGGGTGACACGATCACATTTTGTACATCATGGTAGCTTCATGTTAAAGTAGGGGCGTAGTTCGGAAGGTTGAGGGGGTGCTGCTAAGTATTCAGCTCCTACATTGTCGTCGTGTGTCTGTTTCATTATTAACCCTGTAGTCTTTCGCGGGGAATACTATGTGGTAGGCGTCCTCTGTATGAGAGTGTTGTTCGTATGCTCGTCAATGGGGATGTTCGTGTTTTCCACGTCTTTTCCCGGCATGGCCTTTAAGTTTCAGAGGCCTTCGCCAGCGTTCAGAGTTGTGGGTTATTTACTTATGTGATTGTCTGGGGTGGGTATTGGGGGGGGGTGCAAGAAGCGGGGGGAGAGATTGAGTGTGTGGGTTAGGGCAGGGGATAACGGTTGGAATACCTAGTGGGGGAGCTCCTGTGTTGTATAGCATCCGTAGCGTCAATATATCTGAAGCATTGTGTGTTGCCTTACTGAGTGTTTGGGGTGCGGGTGTAGGGTGGTTGTGTTCTCGGGCAGAGAGTGTGCCTGTTTCGGGAGACTTTGTCACTTTTTGGGTGTTGGGACTCAGGTCAGTCCTATTTTGGTTCGTTGTAGGTAGTCCCCCCACATTGTAGCAATGTGGGGGCTGAGTTTCCCAATTTTCGCTTGGTTCCACATTATTAGTTCATGTTCTACCGTTGAGGTCATTACATTTCTATTTCTTGGAGCGAGGGCAGTGTAGTTGTTTTCCAGTTTCTGGCTATTAGTATGGACACTGTGCTTAGTACGAGGTACATAATTTTTCGAATCGGTTTCGGGGTGTTTCCCGGTATCGAGCGCAGTAGGATCGTTTTGGGGTCGTGAGGTAGTTGGAGGTTTGTGACTCGTTTGATTAGTTTAGCTGTTTCTTTCCACAGTCGGTTCACCTGCTTGCACGTCCACCACATGTGCAGCATGGTGCCTCTCGAAGCGTGGCAGCGCCAGCACTGATCTGATGAGGTTGGGAATACGGTTTGAAGTCGAGTTGGGACCATGTACCATCTGTATAGGAGTTTCCGTGATGCTTCAAGATGTGCTGCGCTTGATGTTAGCCCTACATGGGAGGTGAAAATCCTTTCCCATTCGGATGGAGCGATGGTTATTTGAAGGTCGTTTTGCCAGTCTTGCATGAACTTCCATGTGGAGTTTACATCTCTGTTAGCGAGGTTGTTGTAGCAAAGAGAGACTGCTTTTTTGGGGGGATTCAACGACAAGCATTGTGTTTCAAATTTCGTAATAGAGGTTTGCAGTGAGTTTTGGATGTTCGTGATCTTGTTGTTGCTGAGGAGCGCTTTGATTTGGAGGTATGCAAACGTGAAGCTTGAAGGCAGCAGGAATTCTTTTCGTAGGTCTGGGAAGGTTTTTAGTCCTTCTTTCGTGCATAGATGGTAGATATGAGTGATACCTGTGTTACTCCATCTTTGGTATGGGAATGTTCCCTTGCATTGGTGCAGGATTTGGATCGGGGTTGCCAAGGTCCACGGGTGCGCCGAGTACAGCTTCTCCCTACAGGCATCCCATATCTTAAGTAAGTGTCTGGAGGTGTCTAGGGTGGTCGTGGGTATGTGCTGTAGGTGTTGAGGCATCCAGAGCAGCGTCGGGAGGTCTTGATTCCCGCAGTGGTTGCTCTCTATTGTTACCCATTGGGGGGTATAGCTGATCGAGTGGGCGTAAATGACGTTTGTGAGGATGGAGGAGTGGTAGTACTCTTTAATGTTGGGAAGGCCCAGTCCTCCGAATTTCACGTTTCTCATTAGTAACGATTTGGGGAGTCAAGGGTGTTTGCCTCCCCAGCTCAAGCGTAGAAGGGTCGCTTGTAGTTTTGTTATGTAGCTTTGCGGGATTGGAATTTGCAGAGATCTTAAGAGGTAGAGGATTTTAGGTAGAATTGTCATTTTCAGCGCCGCTATTCTCCCCACCCAGGACAAGAACAGGCTTCTCCAAGTTAGTAATTGGGTGTCAATGTCTTTTAACAATTTTAAGTAGTTAGCTGGGAAGAGATCCTTTTCTTTGCGTGTTATTTTGATGCCTAGGTACACTAGGAAATCTTCTCTCCAATCGAAGTGGTGGCTTGCTTTGAGCGTGTCTTCTATGGGTTTTGGGATGTTAAGGCACATTGCTTGCGTTTTGGTGACATTGAGCTTATAGTAAGACTGTTGGCTGTATGCATGTAGTTCTGTGTGTAGGGATGGGAGTGATATGAGTGGCTGCGTGAGCGTAAGGAAGATGTCATCGGCAAATAAGCTGAGTTTATAGTCTGTATTGCCAGTCGGTACCCCATGGATATTGTCATTACTGCGGATCGCTATAGCCAAGGGTTCCAAGGCTAGCACGTAGAGGAGAGGGGATAGCGGACATCCTTGTCGGGTCCCATTTGTTATGGGGAAAGCTTTTGAGCAGAACCCGGAGTTCAGTACTGTTGCCGTGGGTGCGCTGTATAGTGCTGTAACTGCGGATAGGAAGGGGGCTGGGAGGCCGTAAGCTTGTAGGGTTTCCTGGAGGAAGTGCCAGTTTAGGCGGTCGAATGCCTTTTCGGCGTCAAGGGATAGCAGGACACTCGGTTGTTTGGTGTGCTTCAGGATTTTGTATAGGTTCAGCACTTTCCTGGTGTTGTCCGGTCCTTGTCTGCCTGCCATGAACCCCACTTGGTCCGTGTGAATTAGTGTCGGTAGGATTGTTTTGAGACGTTCTGCATATATTTTAGCATATAGTTTTGCGTCAGCGTTTAAGAGGGAAATTGGTCTGAAATTTTGGCTCGTGGTGGGCGGTTTACCCGGTTTGGGGATGGTGATAACGTGGGCTGATAAGAACTCCTTTGGGAAGGATCCAAGTCGAGTGGCCTCATTGTAAAAGCTAGTGAGGGCTGTGATCAGTTCGCGTTTGAAGGTAATATAGTACAAGTTGGTGTAGCCATCTGGGCCCGGTGCTTTCCTTTTTGGCATTTTGTCTACTTGGCAGAGAACTTCATCGGTGGTGATAGGGGCGCATAGGCTATCTGCTTGATGCGCTAGGAGTTTGGGGAGGTTTAGTTTTGCTAAGTATGTGCGTATGGAGGATGGAGTGGGTTGGGTCTGGTTTTCTTGGTCTTTTAGGTTGTATAATGTGGTGTAGTAATGTGCAAATTCGTTACAAATCTGTGTGGGTTGCATAACTTTGTGCCCTGAGTGTGTGTTTAGGTATGGAATTCGCGTCTGTGCTTGTTTTGCTCGTAGCCTTTGAGCCAGTGTTTTCGTTGCCTTGTTTCCCATGGAGTAGTAGGTAGCTTTGAGTTTTTTCAGTGCAATGCTGGCCTTCCTAAGTTGGATTTTTTTGATGTCGTCTTGTACTAACTGTATTTGCAGTTGGAGATTCCGAGAGGGGTTCACTTGATTCTCTCTATGGAGGTCTTGGAATTGTTTAAGGAGGTTGAGCAGGTTCGCGTGGGTCGATTTCTTGAGGTAGGATGCTCTGCTGAGTAGAAGTCCCCGGATGACCGTTTTGTGCGCAAGCCATAGCGCAGCTGGGTTTGTTCCCGTGATATCGTTGGTTATGAAGTACTGCTGGATTTCGTGGCGGAGTTTGGTCGTGAATTCAGGGTCATTAAGCAGAAGTTCGTTCATTCTCCAAGGACTGCGATGCTTGTATTGGTATAGGTCTATGAGGGTGAGTAGCACCGGGTTATGGTCCGAGATGGTTGAGGTGCTTATCTCACAGGTGTCGACCTGGTGAAGGTGTGCGCTAAGCATTAGGTATCCATCTATGCGGGAGTACGTGTTGTGTGCTTGTGAGTGGTGGGTATATTCCCTATTGTTCGGGTGGAGGGTTCTCCATATGTCGTATAATCCGTGTGAGGCTAGTGTTTTGTTTAGAGAGGTGCATTGTTTGTGCAGGAGCTTATTTCTTTTGAGCGTGTGACTCGCCGTTGAGTCTGCTTGTGGGTCCAGGATGTGGTTGAAATCTCCGCATAGGATCAGGGTTCCAGTGCGTATTTGTTCTATTCTGTCCAATAATGTGGACATGTAACTGGGTTGATTGTCATTCGGGAAGTATGCGTTAGCTAGTGTGTATGTAGTGTTGTTCAGTGTGCATATGAGGATGATATATCTGCCCTGTGGGTCGATTTGGACTGCGATTTGGTCATACGCCAGTGTGTGGTTTATTAAGATCGAGACTCCTCTACTCTTGGATGGGGATGTGGCATGGTATTGGTGAGGGTAGTGTTTGAGCCCTATGATGGGTGAGGAGTCGTGCCTGAAATGGGTTTCCTGCAGGCAGATAATGTCGGCTTGTGAGTTACAAATTTCCTTGAGAAGGTTATATCTTTTGTGGGGCGTGTTTAGTCCCCTTATATTGTGCGTGTACACTTTCATTGTGGACTGACTACGAGGGTCAGTGGGAGTAAAGTGGTCCTTCTTGTGAGGTCTTTAGGTTTATTTTGTGTATGTCAAGTCGCTACGTGGTGGTCGTTATGCGTGAATGTCTGGTGTGTGGGTTCTGCCGCTAGGGAGTCTTCAGGGTGTGTGTAAGGAGTGAGTGTGGTCTCGATGTGTCCCGCCTTGGATGACAGGTACTATCAGTGGTCGCGTAGTGTCTCGGTATTTAAGAGGGGGGGGCACCAACTGGGTGCCGTAATTGGGTGATGAAAATTAAGGGAGGGGAGTCTAACAATAAACTAAAGTATAATACAATGGTCACTTTCAAGGATATGTGCCGGATATGGCACTTCATCTTTGGGGGGTGAGTGGTCGGGTCGGGTCCAGCTGATGGCTGTTTTGGGCTCGTTGTGTGTAGGCTTTTCCAGTTGGGTGTGTGTTTACAAGGGTTTTTCCCTGTGGGTTTCATCTTGGTTCAGAGGTGGGCATTGTTGCGGTTGGGGAGTGAACCCCACTGTGGTGGCTCATGTATCGGTTCCTCGGTCAACATTTAGGAGCATGTGCTAGGGGGAGGATGTGGCCAGTCTAGTATGGTAGGCCGTCTCAGTCGGGGCCTATTGGTTGCCCTGGGGTTGCGAGATGTCGTGTATGTGGTCACATTCAACTGAGGCCCAAGTGTGCCTGTTCGTCATGCAGGGGTACGGTCTGTACATACAACGTGGCATTGTCATTTCTATCACAAGTACATTGCTCTCTACTGTATAAATCCCAATGCATCAGTTAAATATCACAAAACAATACATCATTGTACCCTTTATGTTCTCGACATGTGCATTAGGGGCTGAGGTGGGCATTCTCAATACATTTGATAGAGTTGGGCCTCTTGTCTGGTGTGTAAGAGCAGCATGTCCCATTAGTCCCTCCGTCCCAACCCTGCAGTACTCTAGTTCCCGGCGCTGCGGGCTGGGGAATTCCCGTGTCCCGGTTTGGGTGCCGTCTCTCACTACGGGCCTCTACGTTTCGGGGGGGGGTAGTTATCGAGGCGGTACGCCACTCGTAGCACCATACATAATGTCACCCTTACTGGATCAAATGTTTAGGATTCTCTGAGGGGTATGACTGGCTCTTGCAGGATAGTAGGTCCAGTCGTGGCCGTTCCCTACACCCTTCTATTGTGCCCTTAGAGTTAGTTTGTGTCTACGGTAGGGTGGCGTAATGCGGTTATTGCCCAGGGTATGGATAGATGAAAACCCCAGCTTGGGATGCCATTAACGTTTAAATTAACTTATTAACTTAATGCAATATAGAAAACAAAATAACACTTGCTAGTCCTTGGGAGGTTGCCGCTCGTCGTTGCCTTTGTGGGCGCCAGTCAGTCCCCGGTGCCGTGCTTGAGCTTGCGTGGTGAAGATTCGGGCTAGGCCCCATTTGTGCAGGAGATCTAGGCCTTCCGCTGGGGTTGATGCTGTGGTGAGTTTTCCTCCTTTCGTGATGAGGAGTTTTGCCAGGTAGCCCCATCTATAGGGGATGTTGTGGTGCCTTAGTACCTCAGCCACTGGTTTGAAGGATCTCCTGCGTCTAAGCGTATCTGCTGAGAGGTCTATGAATAGAAGGATATCTTTGTACTTGTCTGGTAGATCTTTTTTTGCTCTATGGGCGCGAAGTATCTGGTCTTTTACGTGGAAGTAATGGAGCTTCATGAGCACGTCTCTTGGTGTGGCAGTCGGCAGGTGTTGTGGTTTGGGGATTCGGTGTATTCGGTCTAATAGGAGCATGTCTGTTGGTATGTCTGGTAAGACATGTCGAAAGAGTTCCACCGTGAAAGCCGTTAAGTCTTGCGTTCCCACCTCCTCTGGCACTCCCCGCAGTCTGATTTTGTTGCGGCGGGATCTGTCCTCCACATCTGTAAGTTTAGCCTCCTGTTGGGAAAGCCTTTTTTCCATTTCGCTCAATCGGTTGTCAATCGCCGTGTGTGCTGTGTCAATATCCTCTATCTTTCCCTCTAATTGGGATGTCCTTGCGTCTATGGCAGTAATATCTGTCTTTATGTCAGCAAGTGCAGTTGTGATTGTTACTTGCATTTTTGAGACTGCTTCATCAAGCATTTTCTGCAGTAGATGAGTAGTTAGCAGGGTGTCCGTCCTGTATTCTTGTGCGCCCATGTGGTCGGCATCAGGATCAGACTCGACGCCATCTTGGGTGTGAGTATCGGTGTGCTTGTGTTGCGGCGTTCTGGCCGCGAAGAAAGCCGCTTTGTCTTTGGATTCTGCAGCTTTTTTAGTGCGGTGTTGAGACATCGTGTTGGTGTGTCTGGTGTCTGGGAGTCCGCCTAATTGTAGGTTTTTAGCCGCTTTTAGGAGCCCAAAACTGCGGAGCTCTTTCAATGTGCTGCCATCTCCGTTCGACGTCCGGCCACGCCCCCCTCATTAAACTTTATAAAGTTAAAAATAAAAAGATAAATGTACGTACATTTATTTATTTTTTTAAAACACCCTCCTTTTGAAAAAATATTCTGCACTTGCGTGAAAACTGGTGGGCGGTAAGGAAATTGTTTCAACCAAAAAGATGCATTAGTGGGCGGTAGGTAGAAAAAGGTTAACTACCACTGACCTAGATTAAAGCCTTTGCGAAATCTAAAAAAAAACCAAAAAAAAACTGAGCCCAAGCCCGTAGTGCAGTTGCCATGAATTAATTAATGGGCGGACTTTTTTTTAACCTGAATGGGAATCGTCATTATGAAGGTAATTTCTGGCATGCAGCATTCAGTGGCTTGCATGGAATGTGAAGCATTTAGCTTAGTCAAAATTGTCGACTATGGGTTCAGTAATATCAAGAGTGCATTCTTGAATACAACTAAAATCACAAATATGTCAGCAGACCTGTTTCCTGAACAATTTTGATATGTTTCATTTTGCCCCCCACCACTTGTTCAGTGGGTTATTGTCATCTGTTTGTGCAATAATTAGTTTAGTTAATTCTTGTGCAATCAAATATGTCCTTACTTTGTCTAATGGCAAATTCTCAAGTTGTCAAAAGACAGAGCAACCGCTGTCATGTTTTGTCAAGTTAAAGGACCACTCTAGGCACCCAGACCACTTCAGCTTAATGAAGTGGTCTGGATGCCAGGTCCTTCTAGGGTTAACCCATTTTTTTATAAACATAGCAGTTTCAGAGAAACTGCTATAATTATGAATGGGTTAAGCCTTCCCCCTAATCCTCTAGTGGCTGTCTCATTGACAGCCACAAGAGGCGCTTGCGTGCCTCTCACTGTGATTTTCACAGTGAGAGCACGCAAGCGTCCATAGGAAAGCATTGTAAATGCTTTCCTATGCGACCGGCAGAATGCGCTCGCAGCTCTTGCCGCGCGTGCGCATTCAGCCCAGGAGGAGGAACGGAGGAGGAGAGAAGGAGGAGAGCTCTCCGCCCAGCGCTGGAAAAAGGTACGTTTTTACCCCTTTCCAGAGCCGGGCGGGAGGAGGTCCCTGAGGGTGTTTTCCTGGCACTATAGTGGTCCTTTAAGCATTGACATGGGCTCCTGGTGGATAAAGGGCAAGGGAGCCGAAGTTGAGAAAGCACCAAGGAAGGTGCGAAACGTGTCCAGGGCTTTCCCACTCTTTTTCATTGTTGTCTTCTGGGTGGTCTCTCCCCAATCTAGCAGTAGCAGGTAGTACGGCAAATTGTTATTTTCCAAACATTTGTTTTTTCTCTTTTGCCAGGAAATTTGTGTCACCTCAGTGTACTGCAATGTTTTGGTGTGATATGCCTGTACTACCTTTAGCATCAATGAGGGCTGCAGTGACAGCATGATACCATGACTTTTTGAAATGCATACTTTTTTTTGTCATTAATTGTGCATTCTTTTCGTATACATCATTTTTCTGTGGATTATTTGGGATTATCTATGTGTGTGGACCTACATGCACCTATTGTGACACCCATGGGGGACAGCATCAAAATATGCAAAGACCCCACAAGATGAGAGAGACAGGCATTGAGTCTGTGAGGAGATGTTAATTGGTGCAGCATGGCGTTTCGCTGTGCATGTGCAATAGCTAGGAAAGCATTGGATTTGGCGGAGATTAATAAAATCGATGATCATAGCTATGTTAGTGGGAACAGCCGCAGCAAGACGGGCGCGTGTGTGAGAGCGAAAATGTAAGTTTAATCAGTTTACTCTCTGGTGAGAGGTGGGCCGGGGACATAAACTGCCACACAGGCACCACAGTGACTGGAATATTTAATAATAAGAGGTACTGTAAATAGAGAATGAAAGAGAACCAAAACAGAGCCTTGGGGAACACCAATGCTGTGGATGGGTTAGGTTTTTTTTTTTGTAAACGTCTAATGCTTTTCTTTAAATAACACAGGCCTCCATAAATGCTAACTATGCTAATGTTCGCAGAACTACATCTCCCGGCATGCTGAGCGGAATGCTAATACCCTGCACATCCCGCGGCATTCTAACGTCTTTTCTAATCCCTCAGGATGAGAGAACGGCTCTCTGCGCACGCGCGGCCGCTCTCTGCCAGCGGGCAGGGTGGATTCTTACTCATCACAGAGGAGG